TTGGGCGGTCAGTGGCCAATGCGATGCCGATGCCGGGGCAAGGCGGGGATACGAGGGAAGGAAGAAGTGGAGAAGGAGGCCCGGGGGGCAGGCTGGGCGAGGGGGCAGGGACCGCCCGGGGCCGGGGAGTGTCCGGCGCCGGCTGGCGGCCTCTCTGTGCAGCGCACTTGTGATGCCAATTCCGGAGGAGAGACAGCGTGGGGTCCAGGATGGAGGACGCCCGCAGGTGGGCCAGATCCGGCGTATCGGCCGGGTGCGCGACACACAGGTCGCGGAGATGGTTCGAGGCGAGGGCCGCCGCGCGCACCGCCTGGCCCTGGGTGGCAAAGGGGCCGCCCAGGACCCGGTACCGGAGGAAGGGCTTCTTACCGGGGTGCTGCAGAATCAGATGCGCATGGAAGCCGCCCTTCTCATGGGGGGTGATCTCCAGGGGGAAGTTCTCCTGAGAAATGTTGTACTTGATGGCATCGCCCAGGGAGACGCTTTGCACGGGGGTGTCAGATGGCACGGAGCGAGGGGCAGGAAGAAGCCCGGGGTAAGGTCAGCCAGGGAGGAAGGGGGAGACGAGAAGAGGGCCCGAGAAGCAGCAAGATGGATGGATGGATGGATGGATGGATGGGGAAGCCGAGGGCGGCTGCAGCCGGTGGCCGGTGGCCGGCAAAGCAGGGCAGCATCATGTCACGCGGCGGGGGACGCACAATTCCGGCCACTGGAAGCTCATGGTGTTGGCCACACCGCGCGGGCTGAGGAAGGACACCTCGGAGAGGTACTTGTTGGCGGCGGCCAGGTCGATGGCCGAGAGCATGGTCTTGCTCTGGAGTGTGTCGTATGCCATGGCCGGCGGTGTGGGGCCATACATCGGCCGGCGCTGGAGGTACACGAACGCGAACTTCCCCGGGGCCGAGACTTCGCCCTTGATGGTGGGGACCACCGGCTCGGGGACGGCGCAGCCGAGGCTCCGGGCGAGGGAGTTGGCAGTGTTGCCGCCCGAGCGGTTTCGCTGCGACTTGCCGCGGCCGCCACCACCGCCGCCGGTGTTGGAGGCCGGCGCGCCGGAAGATCGATCACCACCACCGCCGCGCCCTCGCCGAGGGGGCGGGGCGGACGTCTGGGCGGAGGTCGAGGTGCCGGGGCCACCAGGGCCTGGGGCCGGCGGGGTCACCTGCGGCACAAGCTTCGGCGGCGACAGGGAGGCAATGAACTCGTCATCGCTGTCCATGGTGTTTTTGGGGGGACTACGCGGGGAAGCCGGCTTGGGGCCGTCGGGGCGAGATGTGGACCTTGCGGCGGCGGCGGCGGCGGTGGCAGCGACGGTACGGCGGCTGTGGCGGCCGTGGGCAGGGGGAGAGGAGGAGAAGTGGCGGCTAATGTGTGTGCGTGTGTGTGTGTGTGTGTGTGTGTGTGTATGTGCACGGGTATACAGGTTAGTGCAAGGGCCAAACACCGAGGGCGTATGCTGCAATGGGGCGAGAGGTGCGCGTTTTTGCCCGCACAGCCGCGCGTGCCGGCGGGCCAGGAGGTCCCAGAGCGGGGATGCGTACGGGCTGCCTGTGCAGGGCCAGGGCCGAGCGGGGGGCCGAGTGGCGGGCGAGGTCGCGAAAGTGGCGAGCCGGGAACCCGAGAGGGAGAGGCGAGTGCGGCGGAGGGAGGGAAGGAGCGAGGAGAGGGAGAGGATCCGCGCGGACATCCGGAGGCCCGGCGGTGTAGGATGGCAAAGCAAGGACGGAGGGGAGGGGGGGGGGGAGGGAGGGGAGGGGGATATGCCACAGCGCCGGGGTGGGCCGGCGGCCAACAGCCCGGCGGCCAATAAGGGTAAACACCCGGGCCGAATGGAAAAAAGGGCGGGAACGCGCGGCCGGGCTCCCCCCCCCCTCCCCCCGCTTCCCCCGGCCCCGGTTGGCCGGTATAGCGCGAGTACGCGTCCGG